AGTTGGTGTCGCTTGACTGCAGGAGCACTTCTCTGATTTTGTAAGCTTGCAGTCGATTGTTGTTTGCGACATTTATCTCGCAAGGATGTCGTAGTCGCCTTGATCCCATCATGTGTTGCCCACATCAGCTATCCAGGTACCATTTGTTGAAGTTTTTGTGGCTTCATCGTGCGACGCTGTAGATCTTGGGAGTGACGATGCGGTCGAGGTCAACGTAGAAGCGCGAAAGATCATTTTCGTGAGTGGTGATGAACCCGGGAGGTGATTCAGGGAAGCTCGTAGTCAGGTGGGAGCGTTGTTGGCCTGTTGCTCCAAAGTCCTATTGCAGGATCGTTGCTCGGACTGGGCTCGATAGGTTTAATTGGTCAGATGGTAGGAAATTGCACTCTGTCGTAATATCGAGTGCCTCTGCAACGGGTCATGCAACTTAAGATTGTCCATTTTCCCTTGTCCTTGACAGGGATGCGTTGAGGAGCTTGCGAGGTGCTTGCGACGGCATGAGGTGACATTGTCGTTGTTGGTGCAGCTACTGGCGTCACTGGGCGAGCCGAAGGTTGATGCTGATATCCAGGTGGGCTGCCATTGTTGCGCCTGTCATGAGCAGCCTTCCGCTTGAATCAGCGATCCATCGTGTGTCCTAGTTTCTTGCAGTACTTGAAAAGGCATCCTTTCTTCCCACGCAACTCTCCTTCAGATGCGCCGGCATAAAACACCAATTCGTCTCTTTTGACATTTCTTTCGTTTTACAAATCGATCTCCTGCTACTCGGCGAGGAGTGTGGCACAAAGGGCGGCTTCGGAGACGGCTCTTTCACAAAGTAGGAAACAAGAATGACTAGAAAGAGGACGGTACAAGGTTTCTATAGGCAAAACCTAATAGTACTGTACCCCATAAGAAGTGCCCCACTACAGCATACAATATAGTTCTGACACACCCCCATGGGCAAAGTGGGGACAAGAAAAAGAACAAAGCAAAGGTCAAGCTCAGGGTGGATCATGACGTCACCACGCATTCTGAGCACAAGTAAAAGGCCACAAGGCCAATTCACATGCAGAGTTATATAAAGAGGAGAACAAGTAGTACGGTGATCACAACCTAGCAAATGTAAGCATGCAGGTGCAGGTATTTATAGATCACAGTACAAGCAAAGTCAAGAGGTGAGCAAGTGAGGTCAGGTAGGCACAAGACCTAGCAGAGTACAAAAACGCTGATGATCACAAGGCTGAAGTGCCTTGGTAAAGATATCAGCAGTGTTGGCCTGAGTGGCCACGTAAGCAAGACGAAGCTGACCACGCTGCTGCAACTCTCGAGCAAGGAAGTAGCGAAGAGCAACGTTCTGTGCTCCAGTCTGTGCTCCTAACACAAGGCAAGCATGGCCTTGTTGTCGACGTACAGAACTGGAGGAGAACAAGGCGCCTCTCCCAAGTCGCTAAGTAGGTAGGTGAGCCAACGTAACTCTTGTGCAGCCATGGCCCCAGCTTAGACCTCAGCCTCACAACTGGAGTTGAGAACAAAAGACGAGCGACTAGACCGCCACAAAACAAAGCCGGAACCAAGGCTGAAGGTGTAACCCTGTGACGTCCGCTGCGTAGCCAAGTCGTGAACCCAAGAAGGGCCTGCGTGAGCAGTGAGGACAACTCGAGCCCGTCCTCCAAGCACGAGCCCCATGCCCGACGTACTGCACAGGTAGCACAACACCCTCTTAGCTGCATCCATGTGCTCTGGTCGGTGTCTCCCAGGAGCAACATAGCGTTCAAGGATGCTAAGAGGGTATGCCAGGTCAGGTCGAGTGCAGGTCATCAGGTACATGAGGCAGCCCACAAGCTCTGGGTACGGGCCACTCGACTCTACGGACGCATCCGAAGGCAGAGCTGAGAGCGAGTGACCTAAACCAAGGAGTACGTGAAGTTGAAGCGCTGAAGGACCTTCTGCACCATGTGTGACTGGGTCAAGGTAATTTCGTAGCTCACCCAGGTCTGTGCACGTGTGTCTCTTTTGCACCTCCGACTTTACGTGTCAGAATCCCAACCACTAGACCATTGGGATAAAAGGGCTTGTTAAGTAGCGGGTCAGTGCGCCCATAACCCCCCAGGCCAATGTGCCTGTAACCCTTCCCTAGGATCAATTGGGGATCACCAGTGGACCTCTGATATTACGTGGGCCAGTCCAAGAGTGTCAGTAGTAGCAAAGACCAAGTCGTCATCGTACACGAGGATGTAGAGCGGTGGCAGCGAAGTGTCGGTTCGTAGAAACAGCGACGGGTCAGCAGTGGAAGGAGCAAACCCAAGAGCCGCAAGCAAGCATAGTCCTCAGTGTGTCGTGCCACTCACGGGGCGCCTGGCGGGGACCGTAGACTGGCCGCCGGAGGCTCCTCTTGGTACCAGGAGGAAACGACCCAGTGAAGCCAGGTGGGCGGCGCAGCCAGATCTCCTCGTGCAGGCTGCCCTGTAGAAAGGTTGTGCTGAAGTCAAGAGAGTGAAGCTCGTAGTCACGCTGAGCGGCAATGTGCAGCAGCACCTGAAGAGTGGTCATCTTCGGGGTGTGGGATAAGGTCTGAAAGTAGTCAACTCCTTGTCGCTGACTGAAGCCTCGAGCAACGTACCGCGCCTTGAAGACAGGCGGAGAACCCGGCGGCCGCTTCACCCTGAAAATCCACATTCCATCGACAATGTTCGCCCCAGGAGGGGGAACCTCGTCAACCTAAGCGCCTGTGGACTTCCAGGAAGCCATCTCTGCGTCCATGAGTATCTGCCACTGAGAGGAGTAGGGATCCTCTATCGCCTCTGCGTAAGAGCGCGGGGTCGGGATGTCTGGTGCATCCGGGTCTCCCTCAGGGGCAAGCAGCATGGATACGAGATGGGGTAGAGCAGCAGCAAAACACTGGAACTCCTCCTGCGTGTCCCCAAGGACGTCCGTGCTAAGGGCACACTCACCCCCAACGGACGGAGGATAGACAGACTCAGACTCAGCAACAAGACTAGCGGCGTAGTCTATACGACAGCGAGCAGCAAAGTCGACAAGCTTAGCAACAAGAGCAGATGCAGCAGTAGACTCAAAGGAAGGGTCTGGGACAATAGAAGCCAGGAGACGCGTGACATTAGGACTAGCAGCACGAAGGGAGTCCGACTCCGCGTCCGGACCGACAGGAAGGTAGGACGTAGGAGGAGATGGCAGAGGGACACGCTGTGGAGCAGTGGAAGGACGCAGTGCCATCTGGTGTGTGCCCGGGACAGGAGGAGGACGCTGGCGCGAACCACGACGACCAGTGCGAGCAGCGGGAACACGCGAGTGGAACGAAGTATGGCCGCGGCCTTGCAGCACCACTAGAACCAGCAGAGATAGCACCAGCACCCCCAGCGGTAGCTCCAACTCCTGCAGCACCACCAGCCCCAGCAGCACCTCCACCAGCTCCAGCAGTGCCAACTCCAGCATCTCTAGCAGACCTAGCTCCAGCAAGACCACCAGAAGTCCTAGTAGCTCCAGTAGCGCCAGCTCCAGCACCTCCAGCAGCACCTGCTCGAGCAGTACAGCCAGCTCCAGCACCTCCAGTAGCTCCAGCTCCAGCAGCACCACCAGGCCTAACAGCTCCACTACCTCCTGTACGAGCACCTCCGGGACCAGCGGCTCCAGAACCCCCAGCAGCTCCAGTAGTAGCAGGATCCCTAGCTCTAGTAGAACCACTAGCTCCAGCAGCATGGCTCCTGCGCCGAGCAAACCACTCGCGCAGCTGCCGTCGAGAGAGTGGCTCGCGCCAGGACAAGGCACCCAAGGGACCTCCAAGCTCAGCACCCCAAGGCTCAACACTCCCAGGCTCCACACGCGCAGGCGCAGTACTCGCAATCTCCGCATTCTCGGCTCAGCACCCCCAAGCTCAGCACCCCCAGACTCAGTATTCCCAGGCTCACCACCCCTAGACTCAGCACCCCCAGGCTCAGCACCCCCAGACTCAGCACCCCCAGGCTCAGCACCCCCAGACTCAGCACCCCCAGGCTCAGCACCCCCAGACTCAGCACCCCCAGGCTCAGCACCCCCATACTCAACACCCCCTGGCTCAGAACCCCCAGACCCGGCACCCGCAGGCTCAGCACCCCTAGTAGCACCAAAGTAAACAGCTACCTCGACAGGCTCGATTGCATCTACCTGGGACACACCTGAGGGGGCAGGACCTTGAGGGGGAAGGGGGTCTACCGGAGGAGGACCTAGTGCAAGGAAGAGCGGCGGGAGGGGGGAGGGGGGCAGTGCGGTAGGGGAAGAGACGGTAGTAAGGAACCGACTCGTCAAACATGACGTCCTGAGAGTACAAAACACGGCGCGAGGTGGGGTGGTAAAAATGCCAGCCAGGCGCGCCAAGGGGAAGCCAAGGAAGACGCAGGGAACAGCACGGGAGGACATCTTGTTTGCAGAAAAATCGCGGACAAAAGCTCGAGATCCCCAGACACGGATCGTAGACGCATCGCCAACCTTCCCCGTCCACCGCACAGTAGGTGTGGTCTCCAGCATGGAGACCCGGGGCTGGAGGTTGAGCCGATGCGCAGCGTACTGAACCGCGAACGGCCACAGAAAATGGGAGCATCCGCATGAATCGTGGACGTACGAGCGACGTCCATGACCATGCCAATGTGGCGCTCTGCAATCCCATTTTGCTGTGGAGAGGCCGGAAGCGTGAACGTCTTGCGGATGCCCTCCGCACGATCGGTTGGAGGAGAACTCCCCACCTCTGTCTGAGTGCAGACGCAGAACAGGAAGGTCCGAGCCGAAACTCCCGCTGAGCTGACGACGGGCAGCGCGGATCCAGTCGATCAGCACCTCAGTGACCTCTCCCTTGCGTCGCAAGGGGAAGACTGTGGTCTAGCGCGAGTAGTCGTCAATGACCAGCAGAAAGTAACTCGTGACCCTTACCACGGACGCGGGCTGGGCCCCACACGTCCATCTGAAGGGTCTGTAGGGGAGCCGCCATCGAAGGGAACTCGAAGGAGTGAGGAGCGGCGCGCTGCCGCCCGTCAACGCAAGGAACGCAGGTAGGGGCAGGCCCCGGGGGAAGGGGAGGGAGAGACCGGGGAAGCCATGTCACGGACACGGGAGGCCATGTCTTGGAGACGAGGCAGGGAGGGGTGACCAAGGCGGTGGTGCCAAAGGAGAGTCTCGTGAGACAGGAGACGACACGAGCAGGGGGCAGACTCATGACCAGACCTGGATGCTGCAGCAAACACCTGACCCGACGCAGCTACCCGACCAGACGGAGTGACTGGAGGAGACTCAGTGGTCAGCGTGTACAGGCTCGACCCCGGCCGACGTGTAAACGTGGCCAAGTGTCGGTCCGTCTGAGCCTCAGTGCAGTGTGTCACCCGCTGGCTCGCAGGAGTGAACTGGTGCACTCCCCCATCCTATAAGTCAGCACCACTCACCAAGTTCGTAGAGAACGAGGGGAGGTAAAGACCAGACAGGGTGCCAGAGGGAGCCGCCGGACACGGGAGGACAGTGGAGAAGTGAGCAAGGACCGGACCCCCAGAGGGGTCAGCTAGGGAGACTGCCACTGGCCGGCGGAGCAGCGTGAGACTGGTGCAGTTGCGAAAGAAGGAACGGGAAGCACCTGAGTCAAGGGTGAAAGTGTGCAAGACCTGAGTCGACGCGGTACCTGAGAGAGCAGCCTCACTAGCACCTGGCACAGCAGACTCACTAGCACCTAGAGCAGGAGCCTCAATGCCCGGGGCAGGCGGAACACACAGGTAACAGTCACCCTCAGCACTAATAGTAATAGCATACATAGTAGCAAGGATAGCATCATAATCAAGATCAAAGATAGCAACCCCCGACCTAAGCAGATCACCCCAGTGAGGGAGCTCAGTGGCGTCAGGAAACTGTGCACGCCAAGCGTCAGTCAGCCGGCCGAAGCAGCGGTGCATAGTGTACGGCAGTCCGCACGTCTCCCCACTGCGCTCACCGGTGTGGAGAACGTAAGCGCAGGGACCAGCACCCCCAGACCTCCCACGCCCAGCGTACCACACAGGAAGCTGTTGGGGCGACGGGGTCTCACGAGAACGCTGCTGCTGCTGGCGCTGTCCACCTCCAAAGCCTCCTCGTTGCACAGCTCCACCTCAACCAGCACCACCGCCACCTCCACCCCCACTGCCGCTGCCGCCGCCGCCTCCACCTCCACCACCGCCACCGATGCCCCCTCCCCTGCCGCCACCCCCACCTCCACCCCCACCCCCTCCACCTCCTCCACCGCCACCACCGCCGCCACCACCGCCTCCCCCGCTGTCCCCTCCACCTCCCTTGCCCCCCTTGCCATTGCCGCTGCGGCGTCTCCCACTAGGAGCAGACGCAAGTCCGACCGACTCGGTGCCAACGAGGTCGACAGCAGCAACAGAGGCAACAGAGGGTAAAAGTGGGAATGGGGAGCACTCCTCAAAGAAAGGGGCACAAGGGTCACCACGAGAGGCTCCTACAGCGACTATACTCTTCTCATCTGCAAGGGGGCGCTCTTCAAGGAGGTCAACGGTGAGCGTGGTGGGGCAAAGGGAGCGGAAGTGGTCCCTGACTGAGCGAAGGGAGTCAGGGAGCTGGGTGACGAGGTAGTAGAGGGTGATGTACATAGGGGGGGGGGTTTCTTGGCGCAGAAATCGGCAGGAAGCGCAGCGCGGTAGCGGGTGTCACTAGTGCGGAGGTGGGTAATGAGGTCAGCGACTGTGGCAAAAGCGGCGAGGTCAGGGAAAAGGTACGGCAACATGAGGCGGCCGAGGGCAGCAATGGCAGGGGAGGAGTAGCGCGCAACAACAGCGTCATACAGAGTCTTAGGAGTCTTGTACTGGCTAAAGTGTGCGCGCTCAGCAGACGGCAGGAGACTACGAACAGCAAGATGAGCAGCAGCATTACGCGTGGTCCACTGCGAGCGAACTGCACTGTCAGCATCGGCAGCAGGTGCAACAGAGACGCTGGACGTGTGATCGAACAGTGAGACTCCGTCCCTAGAGTTGCACTGTAGAAAGAGCTGCAGGTCATCGACCCAGACCTCAAAATCAACCGCTCGACCCTCAGCATTGAAGGTAAGAACACTAGGGTTAGCCATGGCGGCAGTAGCAGTAGCAGTAGCTACAGCAGCAGCAGTAGTTGCAGCAGCAGCAGTAATAGTAGCAGTAGCAGTTCAGTAGGGCGGTGCGGCTCGGCAGGGCGGCGCGACTCGGTAGGGCGGCGCGGCTCGGCAGGGCGGCACGGCTCGGCAGGGCGGCGCGGCTCGGCAGGGCAGCGCGGCTCGGCATGTTAAAGTTAAGCTAGAGGAGGCCATGGCTTCCTTGAGAGAATTAGCGAGAGAAGAAAAATTGCATTAGGAAGGAAGTGTCGAGATACAAGTCTAGAAAGGAATTGGAAACCCTAATTGAACTTAGAGTGTGTTCAGTGTATGCCATAGCTATGAAATGAACCTAAATTGAACTTGGAAGCATATCTCGCTCTAAGCATGGTGGAATGATAAGAGAACACCCAAATATAGGCCAGAGCAAGCTCTAGCCTATTCCAACACACCCCCAGGCTAGGGGAAGCTCTGGAGCAAAACACCTAGCGAATCGGCACACCCCCAGAAGTGGAAAGACGAGTGAGCTCAAGCTCGCGCGCATAGAAACGGTGTGGCGCACGCAGGAGGGCTTTGGTGAATATGTCAGCAAGGTTGGCAGTAGCAGCCACCTTGCGAAGACGTAAGAAGCCAGAATGCACTAGCTCGCGCACAAAGAAGTAGCGGACCTCGATGTGTTTGCTGCGGGCGTGATAGACAGGATTTTCAGTGAGATGAATCATGCTCGCACTGTCACAGGAGAGGGTCACAGAGGGCTGAGAGTGACCAAGCTCAGCAAAGAGAAAGGAGAGCCAGCGAGCCTCCTGAGCTGCCAATGTGCCTGCGTACAACTCAGCCTCGCAGGTGGAAAGGCAGACAGAGGATGAGCGAGTGGAGCGCCAGCTGATGAGACCGCTGCCAAGAGTAAAACCATAACCCTGAGAGGAGCGGCGATCAGGGCAAGAATCAGCGTAGGAGGAATCACTGTAACCGGAAAGAACAGGGTGAGAAGAGCCACCAAGAATGGGTGCAAGATCAGAGGTAGCGCGGAGATAGCGGAGAACGCGCTTGGCAGCCGCCCAGTGCATGTCAGTGTGGCGACCAAGGCCAACAAAGCGAGCGTGGACACTGGGGGGGTAAGCAAGATCGGGGCGAGTGCACATCATAGCATACATGAGTGACCCAACGATTTCAGGATAGGGTCGTAGTTCTGAGGAGGGAGAGGGAACGGCAGGGGCAGTAAGCTAATGGTTAGCGGGAAGAGGAGTGGAAATTGGCTTGGCCTGCGACATTTTAAAGCGCTCAAGGATGGAGTGAATGTAGAAAGATTGAGAGAGAGATATCGTGCGCGCGGTACGATCGCGACGAATCTCCATGCCGAGGTAGTGGCGAAGCTCGCCAAGATCCTTGCACAGGAGACGGGCCTGGAGGGCTTGCTTGACAGCGGCAAGGTTGGCAGAATCTTCAGCGAGGAGCACCAAGTCATCGACGTAAGCAAGAATGTAAAGCCTGTGGGGGGAAGTGCGGATGAAGAGAGTGGGGTCGAAAGAGGAGGTGGAGAAGCCAAGAGAGTGAAGGGTGGAGGCTAGCTTAGCATGCCACTCACGTGGGGCCTGCTTAAGACCATACACTGGGCGCTTCAGCTCCCAGACAGTGCCTGGAGGGAAAGGGCGAGGGAAGCCAGCGGGGCGCTCAAGGAATATGCGCTCATGCAGCTTGCCTTGGAGGAAAGCATTGGAGACGTCCATGGAATGGATCTCCCAATTCCAGCGAGCACCTAAGTCAAGAAGGAGGCGAAGAGTGGGGAGATGGGCAGTGGGGGAGTAAGTGGCAAAGTAGTCAATGCCTTCGCGTTGGGTGAAGCGTTTGGCACAGTAACGGGCTTTGAAGACAGGGAGCTCCCCAAGCAGGTGTTTGACACGAAAGACCCATATGCCCTTCACAATGGTGGCGCCAGGGGGGGGGACAGAGTCAACGTAAGAGTGAGTCCTGGTGAATGCCTCACACTCGGCAATGATGGCAGACACTGCATCGGAATAGGTCTGAGGGGTGGGAATAGCGGCAGTGTCAACGGAGAGAAGAGTGGGAGAATTGGAGAAATCGCCAATGGTGACACAGAGGAGGGGTGAAACAGGATGAACAGAGAAAAGCTCCTCAAAGCGATCTTGAAGAAGATCAATGTTCGGAGAGGGAGAGAGACGAGTAAAGAGAGCAGAGTGTTGAAAATTGGACATTGCACGGGTCATGGAGCGGGTGATACGTGGAGAGGGTGGGGGGGCAGGAGCAGAAGGGAGGGTAGCAGAAGGAGGGGATGAGGGAGGGGCCATGGGAGCAGAAGATGAAGAGGCAGGAGGAGAGATGCCAGAGATGACAACGGAGGGGAGAGTGGAGGAGGCAGGCAGGGGGGATGGAGCAGGGGCAGGAGGAAGGGGAGGAGGAGAGGGAACAGCAGAGGGCAGCGGATCAAAGTCAGACCAGTGGAGAGAGGGAGCAGGTGGGGTGGGAGGGGGAGTGAGGAATGGAGATCGAGTCTCATCAAAGATGACATCCTGGCTGCGAATGAGATGCTGAGAGGAGGGAGCATAGAAAAGGTAGCCAGGACAGTCAGAGTTGATACCAATAAACGCACAAAGCTGCGTCTTGGGAGCGAGCTTCCCACCCTAACGCGCCCGATCAGCGGGATTGATGAGGACATGAGTGACACAGCCCCACACCCGAAGAGGGCGCACAAAAGGCAGGCGGCCAGTCCAGAGCTGAAAGGGTGTAACGGAAGAGCGAAGTGGATGAGGGCGAATGTTAGAAAGAAGAGTGGCGTGAACAAGAGCGTAGCTCCAAAGAGAGTGGGGAGCAGAGGCATGCGTAAGGAGACAGCGGGTGATCTCTATGAGAGTGCGAATACGACGCTCTGCAACACCATTCTGTTGAGGAGAATGCGGAAGGGTGGAGGTATGGCGAATGCCATGAGAGGAGCAGCAAGAAGAGAGAGAGTGGTTAAAGAACTCGCCACCACCATCAGAGTGGAGTTGCGCGACAGGGCGGCCAAAGCAAAGACGCGCCTGCTCAGCCCAGAGAATTATGAAGGAGGGGGCATCAGATTTGGCACGGAGGGGATAGACAGTTGCAAAGCGAGAATGGTCATCGACAAGAAGAAGAAAGTAGCGATGACCCTGACGGGAGGCAATGGGAGAGGGACCCCAGAGGTCCATATGCACAAGATCAAGGGGTTTGGGGGAGGGAGAAGGGGAAGAAGGATGAGGAGATTGGGAGAGCTTGGCTTGAACACAAGGGGTGCATGGAGGAGTGGGAGAGGGGGGGAGGGGCGGGAGAGAGGAAGGGAGATCATGAAGCAGCTTCGAATTGACCATGCTGCGAAGGAGAGGGAAGTTGGGATGGCCAAGACAATGATGGAGAAGTAGAGTAGGTTGGGTGAGGGAGCGACAGTCGCAAGACGAGATGGGAGGAACAGAAGAAGAGGAACTGTGATGGACAGATGAGGGGATGGGGACACGAAGGGTGTAGAGGCGAGTAGTAGGAGAAAGGGTGAAACGAGCGATGTGCCTGTCATGATAATGAAGATCACAATAGAGTTCACCAGCGGGGAAGAGTGCTCGCACACCCAGGCGTTGGAGGGCGGGGAGGGAAAGGAGGTTATGACGACAAGACGGAACATAAAGGCCAGTAACAGCGCTAGAGGGAGAGGCAGGACAGGGAAGAGAAGAGGTGCCAGTGCAGATCATGGTCATGGTCTCCCCAGCCCCATCAATGGAGAGGGGGCGAGGAAAATTACGAAGGACACCGGCATCACGAAAGACAGAGTCAGTAGCAGCACTGTCAAGGACAAAATCCAAGGTGCGAGGAAGTGAGAGAGCGGCAGTTGTAGGGCTAGGAGAGTGAGAAGCAGTGTTTTGAAGAGGTGGACGAAATGGAACGACAAAATGAGGGTCCATAAGAGGAGAAGCACCAAGATGCTATCCTGAGATGGCATGGTCATACTGAAAACAGAGGCCAGAGAACCAATACCAGAGGTTACAGCGGCAGGAACGTCCAGGGCAGAAAGGCGGGGACGCCGATGGGACAGTGGAACCCAAGCAGAGGGGTGGAGAGGGAGGGGAGTCCAGCGGCACGTAGGAGAGGTGGTGAAAGGGGAGGAAGGGGCAGCGAGGGAAGCGGAGGGTAGGGAAGGCAAGGGTAGGAGAGGAGGTAGGGTGGAATGAGTGTGCGAGCGGAAGCGCAGAGGAAGAGAG